AATAAAGTTTCTCTTCGGTACATTGGTTTTATAGATATGGACGTAATTTATTCGATATTTGTGAAATTTAGTTGGAAATCGATATGTATGTATCTGTATATTTAGGAGAAACATTTATTAAAGTTTAATTGTAAAGTTGCATTTAAAGTTTAATTATTTTATTCTGATAAATTATATGTCGCAAGTTATACGGCAAAATGTTTTAATTAACGTTTAAATTTGTTAAGTGAATTTATATTTTATTGTTATTTACAGTAGTAATTTTTTTTTGTTATTAGAAAAATATTGGTATTTATACAATTATTGCTCAGGAATAATAACGATATAAGATATGCTATATCATTCAAACTACTTTTATCTTTTCATGTATTAAATTATCTATTTGGATATTCATGCATGCACATAAAGCAAATTTTATTTATAAAACTTTATTTACGTAATATCGATTTAATGATAATGAAATATCCTTGGTAATATTTTTTTAATAATAGTTTGAAAAAATATTCATAATATCAACGTTAAAATGAAATAGCATGATTCCATCCTATAACAGTTTTTTTTTTTAAAAAAACTATTTTAGAAAATATAAGTGTTAAGTGGCATGCGACCATAATCATTTATGAAATATACAAAGATCATTTTATAGTTAATAAGTATAGTCGCATACGAAGATTGCTTAATCGTGGCGAACGACTATAATTTTACTAGAAGAAGGGTTAATCCAAAATGTTTATTCACGATAAAAAATTGTAAAATTAAAGAGCATTTGCATTTTGAATGAGATACTTGTGAAACGAATGTAAAAAAATGATTAAAAAAAAAAAGGAAGAGAGAGATGCCTGTGAAGAATGATATGAAATATTATTTACGAAACAATATTCGTTACGATAAAAATAAATGAATGTGACGTTGAATACCTATGTCAAGAAGATATGACAGAAATGTTTTCGCACTAACGTAAATCAGTTTAAAAATTATAGGATAATTTATACGAATATCAAGTGCCTCAACGATCTCATTTCGTACAACCAGAAATTTGCCCCCATCGTGAGATGTAAATCCTATTAAACAAAATTACGGGTTTAATTCAGGAATAAAACTGGTTTAGCCACGGATATAAGGGGAACGAAGCGACACAGAATGTATTTTAATTTAAACTTTCATGCGTAAATATGTCGATTAAACTTTAATTGCAAGATAGCTATCGTGGAAAGAAATGGTGTCAAGTAACATTTATTTAATGAAAATGATATGATATTAGTTTTAGAGTGGGATTTTACATCTGTGTAAATTTACGAGTTACATACGCATGTAAGTGAAATATTTAATACATTTTTTATGTTAACGAAAAATGAGAGGGCAAATTTGTTTGAAAAATTTTAAATATACTGTGTACAATCGTGAAATAAGAATTTCTTCTCTTAAAAATAAAAAAGACATTGTCAGAATTAGAAGGATATTGCTTAGAACAATATTTATGAATGATTAAGTATTGCATTCATATAATTATTTTTATGCTAATTCATTTAATACAATCATAGTTTTTAATCTTTTACTATCTAGAAAATATCTGACGCGTTTAAACAGTAATTATTTTTAGAATTAACTTCAAAATTTCAAAGATATATGGTCACAAAGAAAAGGAAAAAATGTGCATAAAATAAAAGTTGAGAATTAAACTTTCGAATGAAGCTGGTAAAAGAAAGAAAGAAAGAATTGATCGAATCCACCCGCAGAAAACTCTACAATGAAATGAGAGAATGGATCGAGGAATATTCGTTGGCGCGCGAGCGAGTCTTTGATCGAGCATCGGCCGCTTCATTAAATCGGATCCGATGTTTGCCATTACACGGACACTTCGCGAACGATTTCCATTGTAAAACGCGATAATCATCGTACGCGTACGCGCAACAACGTCGCCATTCATTATTAATCCCCTCGCCGACGGCATGTAATATTCCACGAAATAAACTGATCCCTCGTCGGTGAGAGCACTCGAATCGTGCGGATAATCTGCCCATGTACGAGACACGAGAGCATTTTCGAAAATCGTGTACATTTTGCACGAGGACGTGATTTTCATTTGCCGGCCACGGTAACAGACGTTCGATATAATCTGTTCAGGTACATATATAAAAAGAACGAGGATCATACGTTATTAATTTTAATGAAATTCAATTAATTATAAGCAATAGTAATGGAACATTGTTGCTTATGCACCAAGCGTTTTTTTCTTCGTTTCTTATTCTGATATTTCTTATCTTTTTTTTTTTAAAGTGACGGATGGCGATGAAGGTAAGAATGGAGAAGACAAGACAATGAGAAAGATAGACATCAAAAAAAAGAGAACTGAAATAAATTGTTATTTTATCCTAGTTACTTTGTTTCAGACTTATTTTTTTATTTGAACCACTGATATTCAAATTTAATGATAAATCGTAGAAAAGAAGCCTATTATATCTAAGATTTAAAGATTTTTTTCTTGCGCAAAATCTCTTCGAACAATAAAATTAAATTAAATTTTAATCAGCTTGGTTAAATGAAGATTTATTTCAAATAAAGGATTTAAGATAATCTTTATATCGATTTACAGTCATAAATATTGTATTGTATAATCGATATAAGTAATATTTTCCCGCAAACAAGCGTATTTACCACATAGTTTAGCCTAAAATTCGATTAAATCGTATTAAAATTAAGAAAACTTTGAACCGCTATAACTTCGAAGATAATCACTTCCGGTCGATCATTAAAAAATCATTAGAAGCGCTGAACCTTGCCCTTTAAAATGCATTTTGAATTATCCCGATACGATTTCCGGTTCCCGAGATATCGTCGTGTAAAGACGAAGGCATTTTTTAATCGTTTACTATCACCGTCCTTGTCACTTACTCGGAACTTTCACTCGCACCTCGTCTCGCTGACCTATCCCAAACTCCAGACAAGTGACAGACGCGATTCTTGGAAGAGCGTAGTATTTCCAGGAAAAAATGTAGGTCAGTGGGTCGCGAGTCCATTCATAATATCTTACCGCGTTAAGCGCTATGTAAACTTTGAGCCTCTATATCTCGGTAACCGATTGAGATATCGGGATAAAACAAAAAGCGAATTCAATGGTATGGTTTGCTCTATTTTTTGAGTGGATTTTAATCCCAAAATTTTTAGTTTCTTCTCGTGTTTTTTGAAAAAAATACATTTTATTTTTGACTTTATCGTAATATAAAATATATAAAGACGTAATTTAATGCATGTTTTACATAATAAATGTAAATTTTGTGTATATAAATTAAATATTTGAGTGCATTTCAATTTCACGAAAATCACCAGTCTATTATTCATGATTACCAATAAATTATTGTTTAATTTTAATAATTTGTTTACTATTAATAATTTTAATATTATATTTCAATTTTTTAATTTTATAAATTTTATAATAAATGTTTGTAATATTTCTTATATATTAATTATAAATTATATTAATATTAATTATAAAATTTGCTTTATTAAAATATTATAGATTTGGAATATTTATTTAATATAATATTAAAAGCATTATTTGATATATCTAATCCTATCTTGATTTTGCTAATAATACTTCGCAATCTTATTCATCCTTTGGGAGCTGTCAATATTCAAACGTATAAATTTTCCCTGAGCGTGAATTCGACAAAAGGAAGTAACAACGGAAACGGTATAATCCTGCGCAGTTACGTGTTAAACTTGCAAGATTGCGGCGTTATGCTGTTGCGAGTCGTGCTCCGGAAATTTGCGTGATATGGGGCTTGAGTTAATCGATTAATTCTAATCGTCAATTTGCAATACAAAATCTGGAGATATCAACAGTTAAAATAATTCTAAAAGAAAATAACAATATAATTTAAAACGATTAAACGATTAACTCGAAATGATTAAAATTTATGTTAACAGTTAATTCAAAGATTAAAAATAATTAAAATAAAAGAATTAAAGAATTTTTTTTTAGAATCATTCAATGGCGTCCAGCATCGAAGAAACTCGAATATTGGAAGTATTATCGTTGAGAGGCGAGGACTATCGCGGTATTGTCATCGTGTGCAGAATAGGCTGTCCGAAAGCGATGCGTGAAGAGGGGATGGAGAATGGAGGACATACATAATGCATGAGAACTCTTGATCCGTGACCCCCAACGGTTTCTTTCCACCGACCCTTTTCCACTAACCTTAGCACTCGACCGGGTTTAGACGACTATTTTTTTCTCTAATCTCTGGCTAAATATTTAAAAGCTTTTATCCGGCCAGTTCACTGTAGTTGTCGTATCGTTCAGTCACCTCGCAAAAGATTCGCTCGGCCCTCGAAAATGATCCTTCCTCGTACAATGAAATACATTATCGAATGTTTTTTCGATAGATTGATGTACGGATGCGAAATAGAATTTCGAAGATGTCGACTGGATAATGTCCAAGAGCGATACGAAGAATGGTTTTTTATGTGGAGAAAGGAAAACAAGAAGGAGTCGCGCGTTTCTTTTCATGATGGAAATTCAATATTGACAAAGATAAGGACGAGGAATAAAACTTGGCTCGATTCAATTTCGATCATAGTAGTTGCTATTGTTGTTTTCGATTTCTTAGAGTAAATTTTGGGTATTGTTAGGAAAGGTATATCTTGTAGGTTTCATTGTTTCGTTCATTTTTATTTCGTCATCTTTCTTATCTTTAATGTACAATCATTCAGAAACTATCCAATGCACATGTATATTTAAAATTGTCCTAATTACAAATTGCTCACTTATAAATAAAAGAAATATTCTTGTAAAATAAATTCAGCGAATCAAATCCGGAAATTGTGTCAAAGATATTAGTGATATGAAATCCTTTCATCGAGATATCTAAAAAACCGAATTGTGTTTTCGAGAATTTTTAAAGATGGAAAATATTACGCCAGGAAGTTTTGTCACGAAGGATTGATCGATCGTTAGATTTAATTTCCTGATCATTTATCATTCTGGAAGAAGAAAGGCGGATAAAATATGCGCATCTATGTTCATGATAGGATATAATACGTACCATAAACGTCATATGTGCTTACATATAAAACTATTCGCTCGATGATATACCGCAATATGCTAAAATAAAATAACACTAATCATTCCATCGAAATATCCAAAAGAAGGAAAACGAATAATTTTTAATATAACAAATCTTCTCCATAATTTCAGTCCAAAAATATTCGTCGCCACGTGTTGGCTAAGGAAAAATAATAACTTTCCCAGCACTTATTGTACGAAGGAAGAAGCCGAGAGTGGTATAAAGTCATTAAAACTTTGCATTATTTAAACTTAAGGATAAATTACAAGGCTTCCTTGTCCCGACGGTGTCGTGGAAAAGGACAAGGGTAAGAGACCGGTAATGACATTTTGCCATTTCACGCCTTACGACTCGCCTTACAATTTCTTTGAAAATATCTAATCCATGGTTTATGTCGATGGAATATTAAAAATGCCCTCGATTTACATTGAAATTAGATTCATCGGTTCCGATCTTAAGAATCTGTTTCGGTATTCCGAGGGTCGCCTCTCTCGTCTGATCACGAGATGTGTCGAGCAATGTTTCATCAGGGCGGATTCCTTTTCCCCAAGGATCGTCCTTTCTTTCGATATAATTGTATTAATGTCGCGTGTTCTCTCTTTCGTTGGAATCGCGTTAAATCCAGTTACGCCGAGTCGCAAAGGAGAATACGATAATTTTATGAAATATTTTCCGAATAACCTTACTACAAAGAGGTGAATTAAATTTCGGCCTTGCATCACGCGTGCATCGGCTAACAAACGGGCGCCGTTGTTCTTCCTCCTCGTCTTTGAGGTCGGCCAATCTTTTCTCCCTCCGCCTTTTCTCACCTCGCGTTATTAGAGGTCTTATTTTCATCCCTCGTTCTTCTGTTCTCTCCCAGCTCTTTTCTCCTTCCTCTTTCTTTCTTTTTTTTTCTTTCCTTTCTGCAAAATGCGGACAAACTTCCATTTTATTCATCTCCGTTTCGAGATACATATTTTGAACGTCGGAACAGAGAAGAGAGAAGATAAAAAGAATATATAATAAATAAGTTTTCCTCCTGAGCATAATATGGGATTCCTTTTCCCTTCTTATTTTAAACGAAAAAAAGAAATTATATCAACGCGAGAAATAAATTCACTCCTCTTAATTTATATATTTATACATCATTGCAATCGTAATAATTTCGAAACGATTATTTATAAAAAAAAATTTCCATCTCGTTCTCGAAACGAGAAATTTCCTCGCCTCTTCTGCTTCCATTCTTACGACGGACACGTAACACAAAAGAAAAATAAAAAGAAAAGAAAAAGAGAGAAAGAGAGGGACATTTCCACGCGGCTGCATAATCTCCTCGGGTAACAATCGATCGGGCAAAGCGATATCGGCCAATCTAATTAACCGGCATCCACGGCTACGCTTTGTGCATCGCATCAAAGTCGTAGACGACGAATGGTTGCGGTCGGCCCCGCCGATGATGAAGCCGGAGGGCGTCATCGCAGGAAGAGATCCTTTTCGAGCCGATCGACGGCCACGAGCAATGAATACAAAATTGTTGAGCCACGATGGAAGGATGGTAGGAGGGGATATAAGGGAGCGAGGGCGAAACCTTTGGCCGTCTAAGCCGGTGGATGAAGAATGGCGGCGTAATACATATTTCATCCATATTCATTCGAGGTTCACAGCACAGGCGGTTTGCAAGAGGGGAAGGGGGGAGGGGAGGAGAGAGGGCGCGCGAAGCTCGTTAAACTCTTCATAGGTGAAAGGTGGCCGATACACGTGGCACTGGCTCGTATGCGCGGAATGTCGAGCAGCATGGAATCCAAGCCACGGCTATTGAACATTGCGATGCCTTCGCTGTCACGGCGATATATCGATTTCCAGACCGATCACCCACGCGGCTACAGGGATTTCCTGTCCGTGATTTATTTTGCTATTATAACCAAGCCGCATCGTGCACGGTATCGATGGTTATTAAACGTCCCGCGCCCTTGAGCCTTCTCTCATTTTCCTTTTTTTTTTTTTTTTCTTATTTTTTCCATATAGGGCAGTATTTCTATAATAAGACTATTGTCTTCCGTGCCCGATAAATCAAAATGATAAATTTTTAAAATACGTATTAGAAGTGTGGGATATTTAAGAAGCAAGAAGAACAATTTTTTCATTTATAAAATATAATATATAATATTTTAATTCTACATTTACACTTTTCGGGTTCATTTTGTTTTCTGTTTTTATTAATACTGATATCTGCGTCATGTTATCTTTCAATATTTGTGATTGTATACCACTTTACTATTTTGAAGAATGTGTATCTTAGCCTCTCTTCTCCTATGTAAACTCAACTTATCTATTTATTTATGTCTTATTCCTGGAAACGATGTCGTAAGAATACATCAACAGAAATGTTTGTCTCGTTCCTTCCAGAACTAGAACATTTCGTAATTACGACTTTGAGATATCGGAGGTTCGTATATAAAAGATTCCAACTCATAAAACTTTCGTTCGACAAAGTGGTATTAACACGTTCCGCAATCGGAACGAATTCCAGGAAGCGTAAGCACAAAACCTTTCCAGATTCCTATTAAACGGAATTTCAACCAACAAGTTCGTCGTGACGTTATTTACCAGCCGGTTAGATACCAAGTTGCAGTTCGCTTCGCGGAGTATCTTCACGGATAAGCGCGCGGTCTGCCTGATAGAAACGCGGCGAACTAATTGCGAGACAAGGCAAGACAAGAAGTTTCCAGAAGAGCAGAAGCACGATAGCCGGCGCTCGAACGAAAGAACGGACCCGTGGAAGTTATTATTCCGTCGAGTGGAGCGCCCTCTCGCGGATCGCCCGACCGTAAAAAACTAATTTACTTGGAGGGAATGGAGACGAAGAGGTGGGCAGATGAGGTAGAGAATTGACACGG